CCTGAATTCTGAATCCTAACTTGAGCCCGAAGCAGCAGGAAGCAGCATGAAGGGTAAAACCTGGCCAGGCTTGCTGTTGGCCCCATGAACTATGGGGGTTGTGCAAATGCTTGGCCATCTACGAGTTCCTTCTAAATTTTTGTGGCAGGGACATGATTGATCTTGAAATCATTGTACTTTTGGTTGTCTCTAGCGATCTTTGGTCACATCCAAGTCATCATCTGATGGCACGAACGCCGCAGTGAACATCCACGCAAGACGCGCGGAGACCCTGCACCCTAAACAGTGCCTTTGTTGGGCAGAAGTACGCATAGTACACAGCCCCTGGACGTAGGCATTCCTCCTTGCAGCGAGGCATTCAACCAAGGGGCACACGTCCAACATGCAATTTACCACTTACCTTTTGAAGTCGATTGTCCTTGTAATGCTGCAATATACCCCAGCCGCGTTGCTAGGACGGCCATCGGATCTAAAAGCATCCCATAAATTAATCTCAGTCCTGCAAATCCTGGTGTGTATATATATATATACGGATACATCTAGTCTATATGCATGGATTTATACGTGTCCCCCGCCCAAGGAAGACCTTTGCACAGCAGTCCTCAGACTGCACACTTCGACACTCGCATTGGTAGACTGGCCACCAAGACGTTTTGTCATAGCCCACGACACCTCTGCGGTTCAGACGTTTGCCATCCAAGAGGGCCCAAACGAGTTGAATGAGGAGAGGCCTTACAAGGAATTGTAGCATTTTCCATCTGAGCTCCTATAGCACACTACAGAAGTAGGCCACACTTGCAAGATAGCTCCTTTCGGTGTACTACACATCTGATCTGTAGAATCTTTATCTAGCGAAGTTGCCTTCGCTGACCTGAGAGACCTCAGAAGCCCACCTTCCAATGAGCAGGACTGGACACTAGGTCCTTGCAAGCATGCTAGTAATTGAAAGGTTCTCTTTTGAAAATCTAGGAACTTCCGATCTCTGCTGAAAATACACATAACAACGCTCCTTAGGAACTGCCACAAGGCCCTCCAGGCGTCCTGCACCTATCTCCTTAAACCCTAATACACTAAGTAGTAGTTACCGTTTTCTTTTCATAATCCCTCTAAAAATCCCCGTGATGATATAGTCTCTGTGGTACTACATCCCGAAAGCCAAGGAACAGTTCAGCTCATTTTGAGCCTCTGGGCATGGGCAGCCGTCCCCAATCAACGATCCGCAGCAATCCGTCCCATCCTCTTTGGGACAGGTCTCCTTGAGGAAGCCAAGGCAATAAGATAAGTTTAAAGGGAGGGCAGGCTTCTACATGTGGGGCGACAGGGCTGGAGAGGCCTTTTTTTGACCAAGGGTCGACACCATCTTCTTAGCCATGAAACAAGATAGTCTCAAAGGGAGTGGACATTGAAGGAAGTGAGCGCAAAGCTATACGCAAGCTTTCGGATATAGGTCTTTAGAAGTTGGACATCCAGATTTGGGTGTTGAAGCATTCCCCGGTTGTATGGCGTCCTCACCGCGTGGCCAGATGGTTCCACTCCGCGCAGTGCTCTTGTTCAACGACTGCTTGATAGCCAACAGGCTCCTCAAATCAGCGAGAATAAGCCCAGACGGGCCTGTGCCTGGGGAGTTGGCATGGATTTAAGGCACCATCCCAAAAAACGTTAAGCCAAGCCGCAAGCTAGGGCTAGGGCACTTGGATGCTGTGGCAAGGCAAAGCAGCGACGCCCGCGCAATCCAGCACAGCGCCATGTTGCGTTCAGGTGCGAAGCTGGTAGTTTCTCACCCAAAAAACATCTGTAGGTTTTGGCAGGGCCCTAGAATTTGGGATGTTTTTGTTATATCCCCAGGGCCCCTGAGGAACACATACTTTAAAAGCATCTAGGTGGCCCCATCCGTTATTTTGTTCTTGACTTGAGGCGCATGTATATTGCAATCGCGCGGGCTGCCTGTAGCGGTTGTGTCTGGCGAGTCCTATCAGTTGTGACCTGGTTTCACTGCCGAAGCTGCCCACCTGGGATCTTGAGGAACTCCCGCTAAGGCAGCATCATGCACCAAGATTTGCAAAGGGTGAGGGGGTCACGTATACTTGGGCTACTCTTAAAAATGCGAGCTTTTCTCAAGCATATCAATGAAAGATTGCTGGTAAGAGATGGGAAGACTAATGCAGGCGCAGAAGTTTTAGGAAAACCTGGGAGTGCCAATCAAGCGCGGCCTCTGACGAGTTGCAGCTGGTTGCAGGAGCGCTTGGCCTGGCGCGAGGGCCGCTAGCACAACAGTGCTTAGGGGTTAATTATGATGGAAAAGATGATCGAAACTACTAGAATTGAGAATATAAGGGTGTATAGGATGGGTGCTTCTCCCCCGATTAGCATGTCTCTGCTTCAAGAAGTACTTACCGGTGCTTAGTCGGGAATGAGGGTATACAACCCCCCTACATAATCCCGATACATGTCTGTAATATTCCCTTGTTCCCTACTTCCCCCCGTAAGAATATGACAAGCAAGATCGAGAGGTCACACCCAACTGGAAACTTGAAGGAAATATTCCTTTGGTTGGAAGCTTGAAGGAATCCCATGCACCGAAGGCTTCGTCTGCGTGATAAGCCTTGACCTTCCAGAAGCGGAAGGGCCGCTGATGCCAAAATGATCCCGGTGCCACACGAAGGCTTATGCAGGCGCAGGGCCTCTTACTGGAGTAGCAGGGTCTCCACCTGACAGATCTCTCTTGAGGAAGCGTGGCTTGCAGGTCATGACATGCAGAGCACGGTTGAAGGCGGGAAGCAGATCGGCAAGTCGAATGAACTGAGCTATCCCTTGTCCAAACCTGCAGGCAGTGTCTGCAGATGCCACTGCAAACACAAAATCTTTGTGATATTTAAGGCCGCCTACTTGCAGAACAGAATTGAGATCAATAGTGGTATACTCCCCCTTGAATAAAAAGATGCCTACAGCTCTCTCCCTTGGGTAATGGCTGAAATTCGGATAAAGAAACCCTGAAGAGACTACCGTAGAGTGACTAGAGCCCAAGCATGGGACCACCCAGCATATGGACCTGCAAGTTTGCGCAGACCCTATTCCGAATGGTAAGTTGCGCACGCGCACACTCCAAACCCTACAACCTAAACCCCTGAAACCAAAACGAATAAAGACTGAACCGACAATCTTGAAGCCTCTGGGTCGTCTGGGGAGGCTCGCTAGTAGCTGCCTGGAGTTGGGAGTTCAGGGTTGAGGGAGCGCAGAAGTTCTTACAGTACAGTTCAAAGTGTATGAGGCTGATGCTGAAGTAATGACAAGAGTCAGACCTAGCAGTTGTAACAGCAACAGCTATTGCGGATAGCAGCAGCAGTAGTTGACTTTGGCCGTGCGGGTGCGGGTGCGCGTGCGGGTGCGCGTGCGGCTGCGCGTGCGGGTGCAGCAGCGCCGTCGTCGTAGCAGCAGCAGGCTGCGGCGGCGGTGGTCATCAGCGTCGTCGTCAGCAGTAGCAGCAGAAGCAGTACTTAGTGGGAGTAGCATTAAACGTAAAGAAAACGAAGAAGCAGAATTGGAAAGCGCAAGCGGTGGCGCTTACGTTTGCTGGCACCGCAGCGGTGGCAGTGGTGGCGGTGTCGGTGACGGCGGCAGTGGTGGTTGCAGCAGTCAAGGCTGCAAACGCAGGAGGAACAGCAGTAATTAGTGATGAGAATATGGGTTCTTCAAAGAAGAAACAGAATCGTGAGGGAATGAACTCCAACATTCAATCCTGTTCCTGCAATATATCTTGATTTCAGAAGATGCCTGTCTACTATCTCGTCTTGGCCAGCTGCTAGGACCCGAATCTCCTTAATTAAGACCAGAACCGTCAAAATTCAGAACGTATAGCTTGAAGCTCTCAGCTCTAACCCCAATAGTATGGGTACCTTCCAAAATGCCAGGTTGAAAAAACCTTGTGCAGTCACTTGAACTCGCAAGCCCGCCAAGCTTGTTCAAGCTTCTCCAAGATTGCAGCTGAATGGATGACAGCGTTTCTGTGCAGTCAAGCTTCATTGTTGTCTGTAACTTCCGGTGACTCCAGCAAAGTGTTGAGCAGCCTCCAGACAACTCAAGTACTGAGGACCTGCTCTGCCCACGCTGCCAATGCGGCCTCTCTAAAAATTAACTTTCAGTGGCTAGCTTTCACAAATGCCGTGAAGCACCCAATATCTATTTAGCGTGACAGCCGTGCACACGCCAGCACAGCCTGACAAGAGGTTTCTCTTCGGCTCGGCAAAACTCTGAGCTTGTTACTCCTCAGGACAGAAGTTCCTGACGAAAAGCAAAGTGAACCACTTTGTTGCACCAAATTCCATGCAGGATGAGACTGGATGACAGGGTACAACCATCCTAGTGGGCAAGACATCCAAAACGGATCCAATCCCACGGTTGCAAATGGAGAGGGATCTGCACAACCGCTGGCGTTGATGCCTTTCAAGGTTGCGCTGGTCAGTCTCCTGCTGAGTGGCAGGAGCTCCACAAGGCCTTAGCGCAGCCAGGTCTCAGGACTTGCAGAAGACATGAGTGGCTGTAGCCTGGTTGGGCTTCAGACATGGGAGTGTGTAAGTAGAGTAAGCATGGTTCAAAGTTTGAAGGCGTTTCGTTCCTTTTCTGCCGCCTGGTTGGCGCGCGAGGGCTTTGAGAAGAAGCTACAGGGCCTGGACGCCGACTTGATTAACATCACGCAGCTTCTCAGAGTGGCAGAAGATTTCCTTTGCCAGCCAACCCCGCCAATTGCCGGAAACAAGCTGGGTCTTTTAGGTTCACGACAGCGAATGACAGTGTGTGACCTAGCGACGGCACAAAGGATGCACGTCGATCGCATCGTTGGCAAGCATTTCACCTCTTGTCTCAAAATGCTGGTCTTGAGTCTTGAGATCTTCCTGAATAAGGCATCCTCCGTATCCTCATCGCTTTGAAGGTAATTAGCACCCGCAGCTCTTGCGCTCCTGCCTGCCTGTTCAATGCTCGCCTGCCTCTGCAAGTACTTGAACTCAGTCACATTTTGGAGTCGGCACCAGGCGCGCCGCGCTGCTAGGCATGTGCAAAGTCCTTTGGTTGCTGAGTGGTGTGGTCACTGCTTCTGTGGCGGTCAGCCACGCCCTCAGCTCTGAGCTTTTATAAAGCACGAAGTGTACTTCGGGCTTCGGCCCCTGACCCATAGAGAAGTCTCTGCAGGCTTCCAGGGCTGCATGAGCACCCACCTCTACAGGGCAGCCAAACAAGCCACAGCCTAAGGCAGGAATAGCCACCGCATGCACCGATTCTTCCTGGGCAAGGAGCAATGAAGACAGAAACGCTTGCTCCAGCAGCCGCTCTGCTTCCTCGGGGGCATAGGCGGGGAAGACCGGTGCCACGGCATGGATCACGTGCCCCACGTTTAAGCGGGCACCGGCTGTAATCCTGGCCTCGCCAGTTGGACAACGAACTCCAGGGCTGATCTCCGGCAACGCGGCGCAGAGACGCCTTCAAGCTGGGCTTTGTTCTTAACTATCTGAAAAAGCATGAGCCCTACAACGCAGATAAATACAAACTTCCTGCAAACTGTGTGTACCGTTGTACGATCTTTGCCTTGCAGCATTTTGCATTTGAGTTTACAGCACTCCTTCAGCGTTGCTTGGGATGGGTTTAGTACTCGCACTTCTTCTGCGGAGGCCTAGTAGTCCATGACACTTCTGGAAAAATCGACAACAGTAAGATGCTGGCCCTGAATAGGCGAACCTAGAGAAACATCTTAGGAGTTGAGACAGCAACGCGAACAACCTCCCGTATCTCCCGTGCCTGAGCTCGGGCCCCGCCATTCGGTGAAGCGCAGCGTCTACACCACCACCTCCAAAGTCATCGCCTGAGGCCATGTTGCTGGGGTAAGCAGGGAAGTCGGCAGGGGCTTGAGGCAGTGGTGCCTTCACCCAAGGCGTTATAAAGGGCCACTACCGAAGCAATCCAGATGTAGGAGAAACTCCTTCAAGAACCCTGCAACATCCTGAAACCTCCGTAACAATACAGGATGAAATTGATGCTCAAGTTGCTGTAGTCCTCATCGTCTCCCACAGCACCTAGCAGCTCCTCATTCGCAGCATTAACCACCGCAATGTCCTGCTTGTCTTGGGGCCGCCAGGTTACGATGTTGCCCTGGCAGATGACAATACGTAATCCGTTGAGGTCGAAGTCCCATTGCTCATGGCGAGGCATTGAGCCACATTGCTGATAGAGCAACACATCCGGATCCTACTGCATGTACTCCAATGCAATGTCACTGCGGGTGCGCAGACATTCTCAACAGCACGAGATGTCAGGTGCTGGCCGAAGCAGCTCAGCCAACAGCAGCCTCGGACTTCAGCAATCAATCTGTTGGCTTCTGGGTTCCAGGGCTGCATGGGGTTTATACACGTCCAACTGACAGTAAACAATCCCACACTGCATGATAGCACTGTGTTGGGAATGTTTAGGCAAAAGGTGGTTTGGTTGCATTATGAAGGAGAGGGAATACTCCAGAAAGAGGCTTCCACAACCTTGAAAACACAGCGGAGGACCGCTTGGCCTGCTACGTGCTGTGCTTAGGTTAAGTCCAGGTCGCCTGATGAGTGTTTAAGAAGGGAATGTATGTTCATCCACGCATACCAAAAGTTCCATGTCCTTGAATTAAATCTGAGACTGGCTTCACATATTAACATCTCGAGAATTTCTGAATTACGCCGATGCTAGTTCAAGGCTTAGACTCTTTACTCTTACTTCTTCGGATCACTTTAGCACAAATCCTGCCCCCCCCCCCCCTCCCCCTTAGCCCTGCCTGAAACTCGCAGGAAGGTGCTTGGAGCTTTGTCACGATCTCTTGATTGGAATATATTAGAATGCAAATATTTAGTATGTATGCTGTTGCCGGTCTCAGCACCTGACTAGCTGCTCACAGTGCTCCTGATAGATGAACCTCATACAACCCCCCCGGAAGTGATTGTCCGGCTCATCAGGCCCCCATAGCAGAAGCTCCTGACTTGCTTGGCTGCACATCTCACACATGTTTCGAAGACAAGCTTAGTACTGCTTCAACAGGATGACAAAGGAAATGTCGGGTTTAGTGGTACCGTATAAGGGCACAAAGCAATCCGTGGCGGGGTTTCAAAACAAGCCCTAGATGAGCCTTAATGGGAACCCAACTAATTCATCCTCCCATAATGCCCATAGACCGGGTCGCACTGAGCCGAGGCCCGGTCTGTTGCCTGGGACAGGCCGCCTCCTTCGGGAGAAGGCCCGGGACCTGCGAGAGGAATTAAAATCAGATTGAGGGCAAGCCTTCATACTCTGGACAGTTTAGCCTCTTAACGCGTCAAAAACCGCTGCTTGAGGCTCCATCCTGAGACCCTTACCGTGAACCAAACCTAACATCCACCCCAGCTAGCTGTCCGAGGCCATATGATGAGGTCACGACCTGTGGCTGCGCTGCTGCCCGCTGCGCACCAAAACTGCAGGCAAAATGAGGTTCACAGAAACTCCCCAGAATCAAATCCCTTGACTTCCACTGAATTTGGGCAGGCTGAATTGCTATTGCTGGGGTGTGTCATATTTGTCGCATCAACTTTCCAAAACGCAAATGCATTCTTAAACTTCAAAACTCCACGTATATTGTACCACGTGAAGTGCTGCTGCATTACGCTTGTAAGCCTCTGTGTGACCGAAATTCTGGGAAGCCATAATGTCAGAAGCCACACAAGACAAAGAAAACATCAAAAATCCCCTGTCGGATCCTGGAAGTCTTTTGCCACCTCGCATCATTGGCTGCAGTGGCTCGACCCGGGCCTGAGAACTATGAATCATCGCCCCCTGGCAAACACGGAACCGGCAAAGAGGGCCCAGACAAGTCTCTGTGCTTTTTAGAAGGTCCCACATCGGGGTCTGTATTAGTTTAGGGAGGTACGTGTCTGCTTCGCGCATCTGAGGATAGGGGCACGAGGAATCCAGACTTTGGAAATTCCCCACTCCTTAAGACCGTCAAGGCCCACATGAATCCCTGCCGTACATTGGGGGGAACACCCGGGGAAGACCCCCGGAACACTGGGGAGGGGGCTTGAATCACCCGAAATCTTAACTCGTTACTCCCAAGCTTGCTGGGCGCCAAGCGGAGCATCTGCCCCTGCCACAGGCAGGCAGGCAGTCAATCTCGCTAGAGACACAGGTACAAGTAAGGGTTTGTCAAAGTGGGGGCCGTGCAGTAGGATTTGGGGTGCCCAGTACCCTTGCAGGAGACATGTGGATGTTTCGGGTGTTTGGGAGGGATCTTTGGTGTAGGGCCCTTTTGCTCCTCAACACGGGGGCGCTCTTAAGGGACCCCGGAGATGTATGAGAGTGTAAGAGGAACGTAGGTTCACCATTACCCACATTGCTTTGTGCTTTCTACATTGTCGGTCCCTTATGTGATAATGTAGTGATGTCCCAAAGGGTGTTTGGAGGGATGGTGAGTGGGATTTCGCAACAGAATCAATTGTGGCACACGTATATGCCGGGATCCTCTGTTTGAATAAGCTCCCTCAGGAAGCCTGGAAATCCTAAACCCTTGAATCAGCGTCTTCAGCTTGGAATTAGAAGCAGTCGGAGCGGCTTGCCTGAACCACGTGTGCCCAAGGCCTTGCGAGACAGCACAGTGCAGCAAAAAGAGGCTCGTAGCACAAGTGCCACCGCAGTATATATACACCTAATTTAAAGTAAGAGGGGCCCTCTTACATCCACGGCATGCATGTCTGCAGCAGAGGCAGCAACAGATTGACTGAGAACACGGCGTCACGTGGCCATGCGCCTGACAGGGGTTGGCGCGATTCTCTCCATCTGACCCGCTCAAGAACTATTTCATCATAGCTTGAAATGCGTGTCCGGCCAAGACTTGCAAACAAGACATCAAAGCTGGGACCCTGATTTACATTTCAGGCCAAGACCTTCAATCCCGAACCCTGAGCCCTAGTTTGGCCTGCCAGCCGCAGCGCCAAGGAGCTACAGAGCCAAAAGGTCAAATGTTGCGCGGACGCGAAGTCAACTTGGTCATCATTAGGGTCAAAATGTGAAGTAGCCTTCATTTTGTATATATGGGGCAAAGGCATTCCACAGATTACAACAATGCGATGGACTTGAGGTTGTACTTCTGCAGCCTGCAGAATTAGAATGGTCTTCTGGACCTTTACAACTTCTACCTACACCTCAAGGGTGCCCTAAACCTCTAAATCCTAATCCTTGACACTCTGACCCCTATACTCCCAAAGTCTAGAGACCCTATACCACGAAACCTGAGCCCCAAAACCCTGTACCCCAAACGTACCCTAAATGCGATGATGCAGCCTTGGTGTTTGTAGCCTGGACTTGGCGCCCCCCGCTCTCTATCATGAAACAACTTCTCAGGCTTCAGGTATCTGAAGGTAGCCTTACAAACTCGTAAATTAGGGTTTGAGGGATTTGGCTTGTAAGGTAGTTGGGGCAGGGGGATTGCCATGTATCAAATTGATAGCAAAACTTTGTAGTGTTTCACTCGCTTGCTCCCCCCTGATCACCAGCAAGCTTAGATCCGTAGTAGGTTCAGACGAGTACACGTTGCGTTGCTTGGCATGAGGAACTGACAGCCAAACAGACAATGCCTTAAAAGTAGACTCAAGATCTTAGAGACAGAGATGGGAGCGTTGACTGTAGCCTACACGCGTGGAATTGGGCAGTGGGCTGGCACGGTTACACGAAGGAGGACAAGGAGGTGTACAGCGTGATATAGTCTGTTGCAGAAGCATTCTTTGCACTTCTCAAACGTTGTGGATTCCAATTTTTAGGAACATGTTGCCCGTTACATCATCAGCTCACATCATACCCCAAAGTCCAATTTTCTCTGTTCGGCACTCAGAGAAACTCGATGACGCCCTTCTCATGGCCACCACGTACGAATGCCTCGCGTGAACTTCCGCATGCCTATGGAGGAATTCGCATGAAGGTGCTACCCGACAGCGTAGGATGTCTTACAAACAGCGGCAGGCAGTTAAGGGTCAAACGTCTTTAGATGAGCTACAAGGCGGCAAGCCCAGCCTAACATTGGATATCCGCAGCGGCCGCTTCGGCTTTATTGCAGACTACAAAGAGAGTGAGCAGTTGGCCTTGTTGCTGTCAAACAACTTGCGCTGAGCCTGCATGCAATCAATTTGAAAAGCAAGATCCGAAAAGGTGCTGACAGATGTACAGGAGCCGTCAGATTTGGCCGCCCTCTGCTCCAAGACCGCATTCCACTCAGATAGCATCATGCTGTGGTGCATCTTGCCTCGATGTATCGTCGATGGCCCTGCCAAAAAAGGGGTTCAGGCATGCAGCAGGTCAATGAAGTTTGCCATTCCTGTGGCAGCCGACTAGACGCAAGTACAAACTAGTGGCGAGGCTAATTGACATTACCGTTGGCCTGTCGGCCCCTATGATTATTGAACGTTCCGTAAGGCATGCACGGCACAGCTGCTCGTCCAGCTCCAACCGACCGGTTTCATGATGATCATGTGCTGACATAAGTCTTTCACGCTCATAGCCTTCTTCTATCTCTTTCGAACCCGGGAGTCCACAACCTTCATCAGCGCACACCAAAAATCGAACATCAATGGTTTGCCAATGTTTGGCCAGTTCATCTCAAGACCCCAACCTAGCCCTACTTGGAGATGCACCGTCAGCTAGATGTGGGGATGCAAGTGCCCACACCCTTCTTATGACGGAAACCCTCGGCCTTGCCCCAATTAATTCCAGGTGAAATTTTGAGTAGCAACTTTCACAACTTGACTGTCCTCGTCCACAGCTTCTTCAGATACCTCACCCCCGACCTCCTTGGCCCACAGGTCCTGGCACATGCGATCTCAAACAAACCGATGGCTTCTTTCATACAGGTGTAGCGAGGATCCCTTTGAAGGTTCCGCAGGCGTAATGCAAAATCGAGGAAGGAACACCCTGAATAACATGTGTTAGAGGTAGGCTGGGACACCAGGGGATAAGTGGTCTAGGGATTGCTCTCCAAGTACAGGCACTTGTCAAATTGAAATTTGGGAACGCGTCTTCCATCGCTGACATAATACAATGTGGGAGGGGAAAACAGCCTATTGTGACATGAAAGGGCTAAAACCGTATCAAACAAGGATCGGGACCAATAGACACAGCCTCATAGAAGCTTTTCCGTCCACATCTTGCGTCTCCCTCGACAAACAATTCTTTGTTCCCCCTGATTCCGAGTGTTCACCCTCAATCCTGAGATGATTCTGAGTACCAACCGGAAGTGGATTCAAATCTCTTAGGAGGTGATTGGACTGTGCAAGCGTGAGTTCAGTCATCCTTGCCCATGCAGGCAGTCATTGTTTGCAAATATGCTCGCAATATACTAGGCCACTTCCTTCAACATCACCGCAGGGGTCCTCCAGCGAGACCGGAACTCCTGCAAGATAGGGCTTGGGATTTTCGTAATGTTTAAGGGCCTATCCAACATCATCCGAATCCCTGGATCAGAGTCGACTTGATCGACTGCTATCCGCAAATTCATCCAAATCTGAAATGTTCTGTGGATTAAAAAAAAGCGATCCGTCAGGATTGAAGCGCGCGGCTGCGCGGGCATCAAGTTTCTCTGCCCATCAGAGATTTGAGAGGAAACGATTGTGCTGCCATCACGCACATGGATTGTTGAGAGCACATGGTCTCTTGCCAGTCCATGGGCATGAGTACGATGATGACAATGTTCATCCCAACGGTCCAACTTCATTCTGGCAAACATAAAAAAATACAAACATTTCACAGAAATGCTCTGCTGCTTTGCAACATGGCATGTCAAGTACAAGTATTTCAATTAAAGCAAAACCGTTTAGACCATTTCAGGTTCCTAAACAATGTAACCTCAATGGCGACATACCCAACATGGCCGCCGCGCCCCAGAACTGCTATATGGATAATGGAAAAGAGGATGGAAACTACAGCAATGGTGCCCTAGGTCATTTAGCGATTATACAGCAATTATGTACCGAAAAATAGGGAATGATGGAACAACAAGCCGAAACTACAGTAGGATTTTTGGGTGTATATCGGGACATTATAGGCAGGGGATACAATAGGGATCCTACCGTAATGATGGAGAATCAAACGGAAACTGAAACAGAACCTGGGTGTAAAGAGGGTGTTGTAGAGGAGCTAGTCATAAGAAGAGGCCTTGTAAGCCTGCTTTATTGGGATCGTCACTACTTACTAATTCCGAAACAATTCCTTCATGTTCCTTGTATAGTGAAGCTACTTGGACTTCACCCCAAAAGCTGATCTGATGGCTCAGCCCCCCGTGACATGTCAATCTGCTGTTGCGGCTTAATTGATTGACGTGTTTTCCGATCACCATAGGATTGCAGCGTGCAGCATTGCTAGACATCCGCAAGAAATCCTCACGACTTGCCAAGAACAATCCTCAAGGACGGCTCTGGTCCTGTTACCATCGTCAGCGGTGGAAACTGCGGCAGCCCAGCAAAAGCCGGCGGCACCTCAAAGTGTTTATCGTGGGGTACAGAACAGGCTGGAGGTGGGACTGTACCGCAGACTTCAAATTGATGCGAGCTTTCCGTAGTCTCAGCCTCATTCCCCAGCCATTTTTCTAGGGACTCCAAGCCGCCGAAAACACCGTGCCAGGGGTACTGCGACAGTGCGGTCAAGGTGTAATCCGGAAGTCCCTGAAATTGCACAAAAAAACTGTGCTGCTAAGTAGCCAAAAGCCCAGTGATGCTCTTAAAGAGCGTCTGCAGCTGCGAGACAAATTGTGGCCTGAGCATCTTTTAACACGCCGTACACTCATCAGACGTATGCTTCTTACCGAGCTTTGACCTTTGCCCACAAACAGTAGTATCGGCTTTTGTGCAGCTTGGAGGACCGCCCTCCTGTCAAAAAAGTACGTAGAGTTGTGCATGCATCCTGGGCCAGGTCTCAAGTTGAACTACCCGGCGCGGCTCAATGACAGCGGCGTCAGCCACGCTTACAAGCAATTACAGCTGTACTAACGATTTGTCACTGAGGTTCAGGGCTGGATGCGCTCGCAACAAAACAACAAATATGACACGCAATGAAGCGCAACAGTCTTCACTAGAGTGACAGTGGGAAGCCCTTCTGGGTAACTAGCGTCCTTGCTAATGTGCCTAGTCAACCCCTCATCCCTCAAGCAAATAAGTATATAGCCATCTCAGCAAGCGGGTCGCGCAACTCCTAGGGTGGTTTCCACCCGCCCCCTGGTCAGCAGGCTGTACATGAGCAGCCATGGTCGACGTTGATGCGCAAACGAACAAGAATGGCAAGCAAAACCAAGCGCAGACAATTAGAGAATGACTTTTGCTTGAAGCCATACAGCTATGCAAAGCTGCAATAACCCCGCCATGCGCGCTGGGCTACGGGTTCCGCATCTGAGGCATGATGGACTCGTCACCGAAAGTCCACCTCAGGAGTTCTGGTTTGGCACGTTCTATCAAAACAAAAGAAAGTCGGAGCATAAGTCGTCGCGGTAGGTCAAGTCTCACACGTGAAATTGTTGTTCAACAGACGCATTTCTGTCCTCTTTCAAGGATGACCCGCATGTTGATTGTGAAACAGAAGACGCGGTGATAGGAGGGATTCTCACTTGCTAAACGAAAGCTTGGATCCAAACCTTGTCTCAAAAAATGTTAGCTCGCATGCTCAACTATCGTCCCTCTGACCCTCCCAAACATGTCATTCTTGAAGAGGTCGTCCTGCAGAGTTTCATCCAAAACCACAACCCTATGTCATAAACGAAACCTGAGCCCGAAGCCCAAGAGTGCCCCAAACCTAAGCCCTAGGCCCGCGAAAACCAAAAGCCCCAAACCTATCCCAAAACGGAGGCTCCAAACTCATTATCCACAGAAACGTCTCAGGTCGAGGCATTGGGAGGATATCCCGCCGCTCCTCCAGGGCTAGCCGTACGAATCCTGGCGGAGTTCTTTAGGATGCAGGATGTTGGGCCACAGGGTGCAAGAAGAAGACCAAATTGAATTCATCCAGGGCCTGCACCTTTTGAAACTTCATTGCGGATTCTGCACAACCAACCTCTTGATCAAGATTGTTGCCTGTCACGTGCCCAGTAAGTGTTCAGGCCTTTGTTTATGGGCTAGGGCCAGGGGCTTGGTTGGGTGCAAGGTCTGTGCGTTCCGTCAAAAGGTCAACGGAGGGGTACCTCCGTGGCTTGTTCTTGTAAACCCCATGGGAGCGGTGATAATACCGCAACAGAAAACGACCCACGAGTGAGTACCGCTGTGCTTCCTATTGGTTCCCCGGTCCACGGATTTGGGAAGTTCTTGTTCAGAACTAGCCAAATTGCCACATCATTAGGGTTATGTGCTTTGAGGATGCTGACGCATGTGACGTCGCCGTTGTTCTTTGGAGCACCGCGGTATGAAGCAAGCATGTCAAGTTACTGGTTCAGTACGCTGGCCTGGTGAAAATTACAGGGCACCCCAAGGACAAACTCAAGCTTTCCGCAACCACACCAGCCTCTGGAAATGCGGCCTACCTGGGGCATTTTCGATACAGGCTATAGCTCGTTAATTTGAAGTAGAACCCAGAGAAGGATCCCCTATGCTGCCTGCCACTAGCCCTTGCCATCCCATGCCAACATCACGCACTCGCAGGCCTTTATGGCACTTGATGTAGCACACGTAACGACCCGGAGTTGCATATGCACTTTCCTGTGCCAGCTGAGGTATGCCGAGGTTTACTCTTTGGCCAGTGTCTTTGTCACGAGGATTGATGACTTAATTGCTGAGTCAATGCCCTGACCCAGGCTTGGGGTCCTTCAAGAAGGAAGACTGACTGTGATGTGAAGCATGAAGCTCGCACTTCAAAAGGCTTTCTTGGTTTGATTCATTGTTCCAGCAGCTAGGCTAGCTACCACACAGGTTGGCGTCGAAGAAAGGATACTGACTTCCGCAGCTGCTGGGCAACTAGCGGCTGTTCTTCTGAAGCTGGACTATTGGCTTTGTGCATGCTGTGAACGCGAACGTCCAACCAATCCCATACTCGACCAACCCAAGTAGCCTGATTTCTGATCAAAAACCAAGAATGCCTTTTGGCTTTTCAACATGATGTCATATCATCTGGGGCACGTCAGCTTTGTAAGGAGTCAGTCCCTGCTTTACGCATCCGGAAATAAGGACATTCTAACAACGCTGAGTACGTACAACCATGATTACGTTATGGCGGGCCATGCGGAAGAGAGGTGCTGGTGACCATTGTGGAGATAAGAGTGTGCTATCTTGCAATTTAAAGGACCTCCCAGAGGAGACCTGACTGTTGAGACATCCAATACAGAGGAAAGCTTTGGGCCAGTCCTGTGCTCCGCCAACGAAGATTGCCACGTCGCGCCCCGCTCGGAGGCGGTCGCGGATGAAGGGCTTGGTGCATTCAAAGGCACCTGGGAGCTGACCCTATAGTCCTCCTTAAGTAGATAGAATATGGTTTTGGGTATATTATAATAAGATCCCCATATACCCCATAACAGCAAGCAAGGGCAAAATCCATGGTTTCTTTTTCTTCAGTCAGTAAAAATTGTCTAGAGGCACAACCTCCCAAGAATTTGCTTCTACAAAGTGCAGCTGGCCCTTCGTTCCAATCAAGGGAAATCCGGAGTCAATTCTATGGTTCAGTTCATTTGAACAATAACTTCCGGGTAAAGTCATTCTTGTTGCGGTGACACTCCTACAAGCATTATAACAAAGAAGTTCCCCCAATGTCTTCTCTACGTGGAAGAGAATTCTGAGAAAGATGACATTGAATACAATTCTCTTTCTGCAGACGTGGCTGGCTTGAGGGAAGTGAAACCTGCAGTCCCTGCAGGCAAGATAAAGATCTCAACTAGGCCCAACTAGGCGCCAGCTCTACAATTCAAATTGTTCAAATCGCTCAAACTTCTGGTTGAGATGAAATCAGAAGAAAAGAACATCATTCCTCAATCCAGGACTATTTTCTACACGAAATGGAGACATCATTTGGTCTCAAGATTTGAAGCCATCCAACTAAACAGTGGAGCTGGCCCTCTGTCTAATAAAACAGATATACATATTTTGTTGAAAAAGGCGGAGTTAAATTTTAGATAGCAGAGCTCATGGGCCAATTCTGAGATTCAGCCTGGTCACAAGCATTAGAGCTGTGTCAATGACTCAATCACTGGGATGAAACATTGAATGACAACATGGGCAAATTCTGTTGTTTAGCTTGTTCACGTAAGTCAAGGGAATGTCACTAATTAACTGAATTACAAGGAACATCCGGATATCTACGTCAAAATTAATGGGCCCTCGAATTCTGCCAATTTATAGCTGCTTGAAAATGGCCAGAGTGGAATCAAGTAGTTTTTTCCAATGAGCAAAACTGAGCCCCCAACGAACCAAGGTGCCGGAATACAAACAAGCACAAGCTGGTGCATGTGCAAACATGCTGTACTGCGTGAGAATGGGGCACCGTGCTTTACAACAGAACATCTGAGATTACCAAGAGCAATTATCGAGAGGGGCCGCAGCCTTGAGTATCAAGTAGTTTAGATAACAGAAATCGAAGACCAGGTAAATTATGTTCGCCTGCGTTGGTGAAAAAGTGCTTACCTCATTAGAGGGAAACCCCTGGCTCGAGGAGTAGCTTTTTCGTGTGACTAGTGAACTGACCCGTGATTCAAACTCTCTGCAGCTAGAGGATTTGCAATCTTGAGATGAAAGAATGGGCGTCTGGTTGTTTATTCCAATTCTTTGAAAGAGTTCAGTTAATCCTCAACATGCTTCCGAGAGCACAAGTTCGGGAGAATCCTGTCGCCCCACTGGGCAAGGCGAATCATGGAAACCATTGGTTTTTACAATGCGATTCTATGCCAAACTTTGTAAAGCCATGCTTCTATAATTTCTACAATCTTTAAGACTTAATCCACTCCAGGTCCGGGATTTATCTGGAAAGAAAAGCCATCGCCTGGCCTGGAGCAGTCTGAAAAAGCATGAAAATGATGGAAAAGATTAATTTTTACAATGATTTCGAAAAACATAGAAAACATTGTAAAGGAAAACACGTCTTGGTATTTTTAATTGAAGGACAAAAAAGGTGATCCATGGGGGGGGCAACACATAGTATGTTTTTGTAGGGCATGGCCTTCACTGACAAATACCCAAGAACCTCCAAGTAGTCATTCAAAAGCCACTCATGTTCTGGATGCATGTTAGCAACGTGCGTACAACAACGAGGCCTTGCAATGCTACTGCTGATGTTTGGAAGGATACGAATGGACCGTGGCAGGCGCTTATGTGCCTTTTCTGAGGATTCTGGAATAAGGGCAATTTATGCAGGGTCAGCTTTCCATATCGCCAAGGCCACGTGGAAATTTGAAACTGGGCGAAATCCAGACCACGGCACTTGACTTCTAAATCCTAAATCTCAAGCAGTGCATCGTGTTCTGAATCTGAGGCAGATTCTCAAACAACAACATGACGGCCTATAAGAATCTCGGGATATAGGCCCGGACCCAGGGTTGTAAACATCTCGTAGAAGCCAGGGAAAAGGCCGCAGGCCCCAGACCTGAGTCGGCACGACCGCGGAAAGTCACTCTGACCCGTACACTGCACAAACCCCAGATTCTACACTGTGGTTCCTGGCGCAACAGCAGCGCGCAGCTTCATCTGCCTGAGGCCGCACCACACACTCCAAGCGGCGTGCTACCATGATCTGAGGAGGATAATTCCACGCTAAAATCTTGTACAAAGATTTGCTGGCAGGTCCAGGCTCTAAGACTCTAAGATGACATGATAGACTCTCAGCAGCTAGCCTGAACCAGCGCTGGTGTAGCAGCTCGCCCCCATTCTCCTGGCAAGCAGGGTGTCTGTCATACCTTGCTGCTAATGTGTGGTAATGGGGGCTTATTCCAGCTCTTTGGACCTGGAACATGCCGAAGTGCTCCAGTAGCTGTGAAGAAGCACTAGTCGGCCAATTCCGCATAACTTCGCAACCCAGCACATAGTTCCAGAGCTCTACTGCCTAATTAGAGAATCTGCATGCGAAGTAGGAGTCATACCTGTGGTCCCTTAATCTTCTTGAAGAGCCATATGCACATGCACCGAATCCTGATGATTTCTACTTTTTAGAAAAAGCTAGGACTCGCACAGTTGTTTGCCTAGATTTGTGTTCTCCAATGGGTAAATCGATATACGATCCAGGAGCAAAATTCAAACACCATGTATCATATACCACCTCAAAGGATAGAGGCTTCCATTACATCCCTACTCATGTACGTGTGTGTCTGTTTATCTTACGTACATGTACTGAATACACCTGCAAAAGGCCAAAGTGAGGCCAATGAATCCCAACACAGCCACCAAAAACGGATCCAAGACTTTGTACGAAGAACCGGGCCCCAGACCGGCTCAGGTAGTTCCACGCCCGAAGCCGTGCGGCCGCGCAGTCCGCCACCAGCCTGGCGTCTTAGCAGAGGTAGTGGCGGCGGCGGCTGTGCTGCTGCTGCTGCTACTGCCGGCGGCGGTGGTAGTAGTAGCAGCATGAGCAGCAGCGGCGGCAGCAGCAGTAGTAGTAGTAGTAGTAGTAGCAGCAGCAGCAGTAGTCCTAGCAGTAGTCGTAGTAGAAATCGTCGTAGTAGTAGTAGTAGGAGGCGGTGGCACCTCCCCGCTTGTACATACCGCACGTTTCCGAAAATGGTACCAGCCCAACAAGTGTTGGATAGCGCGAAACATGGAAAAGGGGGAGAGAAGAGGAAAGAGGGGTTCGGGATAATTTCGTAAGAGGTAAGAAAGACGACAGGAACAAACATCGCAGATATGTTGCCTGTTTACCTTGACGCCCAGCGGGAACCTCGAAACTTTGCAGTCGGTAAACGCGCTTAAGCTTTCAATGGCAAGCAACTTCGACTCACAAGCGGTGCCTTAGAGAGAGCGCTACCCCCCAAACCTACTCGCACTTCAACTAAGCAAGTTCCAAGGCGTGTCCCTGCGCAGCTTAGGATTCAAGGGCTTCCGTTTCTGCAGAATTACCGCCCCTTCCACGATTTCGGCCACATTCTCAAAGAAGTGAAGTTGAAACGTCGGGGGATAGTAGTAGTAGTAGTAGTAGTAGTAGGAGTAGTAGTAGTAGTAGTAGCAGTTGCAGCAGCAGCACTACTCGCTACCACTACTCCTGCTACCACTACTAAGACGTACAGAGAACAAAAGTAGGAGGATGCAGAGGTAGCAAAATGTAATCCAAACTGGTACTGGCTCGAGACTAATTGCAATACCTGTAGTTGCTGTGGCGAAAGAAGTCAAGCAATTGCTGTTGCTGTTGTACTTTCTCAGCTTGTGGGCACTGTCATAGGATGTTTGCTGGAGTGATTGCCACGGTGGCGCTGGAAGCGGTGGTGGCGCAGATGGTGCACTAGGACTCATATGGTATGTCGCACACTGCGGCTTGCAGCAGTTCAGGTGATCATCGCGGCACTGCTTTGACTAGAAATCTTGAGAGTTGGCTTCCCTGGCGTGGTCATCTTGCACAAGAATACTTGCAAGGCAAGATTACTGCCAAGATGCGGGCAATCCATACAACAACCACCCCCGGCAAGAAATGAAAGCAGCTGCCACTTGCGCGCAACATGTTTCAGGCTGGGGCGTCTGATCCCAAATGAACAGAACCCCCTTCCAAACTATATTTCCGAAACGGTAAGCCCTGATGCGAAGCATAAAGAGCAACTTGCAAGCAGGAGACCCAGGTGAGGCCGGCCAGGATTGCTCCAAAAGGGAGCAGGCCATGGGGATGCATTCCGATGACCTTCTTTAAAGGTCTGATGTTTACGGGTGAGGGGTTGGGGGTGAGGGTTTACCAACTACCTTCCGGTGTAGAGGTTAAGTCGAACAGGATGTCTCAGGCGTATTTAGAGGACCTGAAACACAGATCGTAAACCAACGATCCCGCGTTGAATCGAACGTGGCTGTCCTGCTTGTTTTTAGACATTCTGGTAACGTTACCCACCAACATCGTTGCTACTGCTGTAGGGATCTTTAAGAGTAAATCAAACCGGAATTCAGAAGCGGGCTAGGAATCAGCCTTAGCGTCTGAAAATTGCTCAGGTCCGAAAATGTCTGAGGTTACAGTCTCCCAGATGGTGGTACAGCCCAAGTGGGAACTCTTCTTGTCGACGCTGTGACTGCCTTGCCAACCAAACCATATGACAGGACTTTGCGTCGGATAAGCTGAGCTGCACGCATAGTGCCTGTCGATCCACCGGCGGATCTCTTCGGGGCTCAGCTGGCGCCATTCCTCAGAGAGAACAATGTGTGCGTGGCCGAAGGCAGCAGAGACCAAGCGCCAGAAGCGGGACCGGGTCACAGCGTCCGACCACCCGCGGTCGTCACGAGTTGAGCCGCGCTCGCTCAGTGGTCCCCTGATAGCCCAAACAGCGAAGGGAACGTGAAGGAGAAGAAGTCGCAGCAAGAATGCCGAGCGCTCCGACTTGGGAAAAATTGGCAGTTTGAAGAGCATGAGCAGCTGACCGATGCGCCTTAAGGCGGCATCAACGCTCCCAAGCAAGCCAAGATAGAAAATCGATTTCATGATCTTCTCCCGAGCGAATGGCACCACGGTTGCCCGGTAGGTCAAGCCCCGCATGTAGAAATGCTTTTTCCAAATGAAAGCTGTCACCAACAGGAGAAGCAACGGGCCCAGGTCGCGCCCCAAAATTGATAGAGGCAACGCCATCTTGGATGACGCGAGCGCGGAGGCTGAACGCCTCCGCCGATCGGCTGATGGCAGGCCGTTGCCTACCCGCCAGATCTCTTCAGCTGTGTCAATATGCAAAACACGAACACTGATCCTGGCTATCTAAGGAAGCTTTGGCATGACAGCTCTGTACGGGAATGACTCTGTGCACATGCCTACACTCGTCATTGAGCCAAGCTCTTGATGTCAGCACAGCTATTCAAGGTAAGCCCTTCCGACCTGTTAGTTGCAAAAGGGGCCAATTGAACAATCGAGCCTCTGCCCGAAGAGGGACGGCCAATCATGCTGCAAGCGTGCCATGCCTTTTCAATGAAAGAACCTGTCTCCATGCCGCAATTCCGGCTGCCAAACCTTCCGCCTGCATCAACAGCTCGCACTCACGTGTTTGTGAGCTCGAGTTACATGCATCTGGGCCGGCTGAAAGTTTTGACTGGCTCGGATGCTCTCCAAGTTGTGGCAACCTGTCACATTGAGTCGGTATTGATGTCATTGCTGGCTGCACTCTCAGCCCTCCCAATCTGCATAGAAAGGACATCGGCAGCGCAACTGCCGAGAAACAGACAACAAAAGCAGCATCCCCACAACCACTGCTTTCTACTGTGAATCTGTCATTCAGTTCCCAATTCCTGTTTACTGCGAATTCCTGGAAACCGCATTGGTCTCGCACATTCTTTCAAACCCCTATGAATGGGATGCCAAGATGTCAAACAGCCAGGCGAAGTGGAAGGCAGTCTGCGCTGAACGCTAGATGCTTACTTCCAGACAGAGGATCAAAAGGTCGGTGCTCTTCAGAACTTTGACACAAACGGACGGTAAAGGAATGGTACGGAAACTCTCTCTAACAGTTTACCACACGTAGTCTGTGTGGATAAACATTTCCTGCCGCAACATCTGCGCCGTCACCTACTTAAGTCAAGGGGCAGCCCGCCTCACACTGCGACCTGCTTTACACTGCATGCACGGAGGTTGCTAAGGTCTTCCCCCTCCAGTGGGGTACCCTACAAATGTGATAAATTGTAATGCAGTGCAATGTACCCTGAAGTTCTCTCTTGGGGCAGCAGGGTTACCTTACTGGAGGCAGGACCCCGCCAAGGCGGGTAGAGGCCCCGCCACGTCCTGTGACGTGGGTGGCCAACTGGCAGACTGCGCCGGGTCAGTGCTGTGGGCGCTTGGGTATTTTCTCAAAATGGAGGGCCCCCATTAGTTAGGTTCATAGCCACTCCCCCCAATATAAACACCTACTACTGCCTTACATATTGGGTGAGTCGGGGGCTTTAATATGAGGGGGAGGGGATTAGGAAGTGCCCAAGGCTACACGGACAACACATAGACCACGCATAGATCTCATGAGACGCAAGGAGGATTTCCAAATGAGACACCCGGAAAACCTTCAGAATCTGCTTTTCCCCATTACCTGGACTCAACAAGGGATCGATGATTTCGAGAAACCACCCACACTGGCAGCCTGGATGTCAGGCCACTTCCACGCATCCCCTTAGGCACATAGTCCACCGCTCTGAAAGCGGTTACGCTTGACTTGAGCCGGAGAGGGCTTTGGGTTCCATAGTTGGCTAGTTGCTGCTTTGGGCCAATCCGTTTTTCATGATGTCGGATGAAACTCGCAAGGCTCAGTGTAAGCTGATGCCGACCTCTGATCTCAGAAAAAGAGGTTCAGGAGACCTTCCTTGTCTGAGCAAAAAGCCACGGAGCAATCTGACCTGAAACATACAGTAAAGCAAATCGTGGCCAGCTCCTTTCAGCACCCTTGACGTTGAAAACAATCTCAAAATAGGGAACGGAGTCTATACTCCTTCCTGGTCAGATCGCGCGGCTCATATCAAATATCCACGGCTGCTGGCGCCCAGCAAAGACGTCATCGGAGGTTGTCGAGCTGCCATCAGCTGGAAAAGGTCGGCCACCCCGAGCACGAGACATACAACACAGATTGGTAGTTCTCAGATGCAGGCAAATTGATCTAGACCGCCTGATGTGGTATGATCTATCTATGTTTGGGGTTGCTCATGCTACGCTACACCCTGCGACATGCGGTCGGCAAATTCGCTGCTGCATGCTGCTCCATGCACGTAAATGTAGAGAGGATATCCTCACGTTTACGCTGGTTTGGCGGTGCATTCTGAAGGGGCTTATCATTTTTGTTGAATGACAAAACTTTGCAGAACATCACTTTCTTACCCCACATGCTAGCTGCTAGCTAGTACTGAGTTTAATATGCTAATGCTAGTGACGGGCAAGTGACTTAAAAAATGCAATAGCCCTAACCAGCGGACACCGACAAAAATGCCAGACAAGAATTCATGAGAGATCAGTCCAGGCGCTCAATCGGGTCGGACCACCTTCTTCAGCCCAGGAAGATCAACTGGGAGTCAAATTGGCGGACGTTGAGCAGTCGCAGCTACGCACTGGAAGTCAGCTGTGCCCCTAAAAAGCCCAGCAAAGACTGTGCTGTCCAAAACAAACCCCCTGTCTGTAGTACACTGCACATTTCAATGAGTCTCATGTAAGCTGGAAAGGCTCTTTGCCGATTACAGCATCATGAAGCGGAGTTGGACGCATTCATTTAAAACGGTTTAAACATGCCAAACTAACTTATGCTAAATTGCTCAGCTGAGGAAGGCATCGGGTTTCCAGAAAAATGCCTGGTCAGCCGCCCATTCTAGTGAGCCTAGCCAAGGGACCAGCATCGGCCCAGTCTCCACCCCAACTGTGGGCCCAGTTTAAGGTTTTTCTGCGCGGATATCATGGGGATGATATGCGTGTTTATCGCAGGGCGACGAGACCGAAACAAGAACCTATAACCTCCTTTCGAAACCCAGTCTGTACATTCGTGCGCTGTGTCAGAAAGCTACATGCAATCTCGTGACCATGAAACAATGGTTGAACAAATAAATTCCGTGCACCACGCAAAGCAACCCTTGGTGCCAGAACTTGTGGAAGTCTCATTGACTCCGATTCACCCCAATGAGCTGTACTGCTGCGCACAACGCTCCTCCCAAGCAAAAGGGCGCACGATTTGACATTACACACCGTGCTCCTGTAATCCACCGCTTCTCGCGTCCAGCTCTCTTCTACAAGGGCCTGACTAGAAGACCGAGGCAGTCTAGGTGTACATCAGAACTGCAAGCAGAAGCAAATGTTCTTGGAGTGGCAACGATATAGGTGTCCACTTCATGAACCGTTCTGTTACTGGCAAGATTTTGTTGGTTTACAGTAAAATCTGCCTGAGCATGCAGGAAGAAATCTGATTGCCTTCCGGGCATCTTTAACGGCCTTCACACTTATTTCTCGTGGAATATTCGAACTGCAAACATTGCGACAAGAATAGCTTCAGGGTGGCACAACCAGGCCATCCACTCTTTTTAACACGCTCTTGTGGAATGTAATCAATGTGTTTCTAAGGCCACACAATGACTCCTGAGAAGAAGCCAAACTCCTCTGGCCTGTTTTGGCAAGACCCTAGAGAACCCAAAGGGACTCCTTCTAGTCGAACGGGTCATGCTCTCTAGCAAGCCATCTTTACCTAAAGCAAGGTGAAACCCTGTCCCGGAAACAACGCAAGTATACCCAAGTCCTCCTTGAGCGCGAAAGCGTGGATGCCCCTCCGGGCTGCTCAGAAGGTCCATCAGATTGGTTGGGTCCGCTGCATTCTGCATGTCTAGCTGTAAAACAGGTGCAATCCTGACATGGCCTCGATAGTGTTCCAGGATGGCTCATTTTTTTTGTAAACCCGCCATGCAGGCCCAGAAACTGCTATGCCAACGGCTACTGCTACTCAAATAACCCAACCCATGCTTGACGTGGCCCCTAAGCGGTAGTGGAGCACGCTCCAGCGGATCAGGGTCAGCAGGCGCAACTTGCGAAACGCTGACGTCCGTAGCCCAGCTATCCCCAGCAAATGCGCAGAAGGGCCAATGCAAAAATGGAATCCTACATGATTCCAAATGCCATACACGGCAAAGTGGCGCCTATATGGTGTTCAGACTAAGCGACCAAGGCCAGGTTACTCCACTGCAGGCCACGCCCCAATAGTTCACTACTTACCAAAATGGTGATGCAATTGGCACGCCCCTCCTCTACGGTGCTGATTGATTCAAGCTATTCTGCACGAATGCTGGAGCTCGCTGCGAGGGATGGGACCACCAGCCTCCGATGATGGCCAGATTTGGGTGATTGCTGCCGTGGTTGAAATATGTGCGCAATCAGCATCTGTGCTAGTGACACTTCGTCATGGACGAAGCCCACAAAGCCAATTGCACGAAGCTTAACAAAACCAGCTCTGGTTAATGAGTTCGACTTGCCACCCCTACTTGCTGGTCCATGGGCATATTGGCAAGGCAAGGAAGGAAAGAGGAAGTTAGGGCTTGAGGCTGTAGGACTCCGAATGGATTGAAGGTTCGGAAGTAGCTTTGGAGTCAGAGTGGCATCTAAACGTGAGTCCAGTTTTCAGGTTTTTGCCAGCAGTCTCTTTGAGCCCTGGCAACTCCTGCACCTACCGAACCATAAGTGGAGGTGACGAAGCATGCTAATTAGACCCACAGCTCAGTGCGGCATCTGTTGCAAGTGCCCTTGCCGAGCGCGTGCGCCCACCTGTTACAAACTTACAGTTGCAGGGCTTATGTCTTGCGGGCATTCAACGAACCGCAAATGCGTGTGAGTCCAAAAGCATGCCTCTCTGCCCAAGCCATGTGAAGAGCCACAACAAAGGCTTGAAAAGATGAGTTTGTCAAGAAGATCTTCTTCCGGAAATCACACAACGACGTATCCAAATGTTTGTCTGTGGGAGCCTTCCATGTCAATCTTCACAGGCAGCTCAAGCCATGTAGCCCCGAGCAAACGCCCGAGGATAGCCATCAAGCATGTCTCACAGTTTTACTTTGGCTCCAAGGAATGCAGCTAGATAGACGGAGTTTGCTTCTTGGCACGTAAACGAATGACTTCGAGGACTGATGTTTGAGAGCTTGTTTGCAGGCTGCGTGGCCCCAAGTTCATGATGTTGAATTTGACGGTTTAGGCTGTCAGGCTGGGAACCGTAGTTCCGGGAAACACAATTTCAGGGATGAGCTCCCAAGTGCAACTTCATGCTTACTGGCAAGACCGGGATTGCACTCGGCCTACAATCTGAAATCTTTCTGGAGTCTAGATCTGTTCAGATCATGTCACAAATATCTTCTGTGGAGCACCCTCGGAGGGTTTGGGGGCTACAGGCTCAAGCGTCGGGGAACGTGGGAATCCTTGAAAATTGTCGGCAGTGGGCCAGCTGCATGAG